TTCAATTAACTGCATTGATTGCTATTAATTGTAATAACATAATTGCTATATTCGACTGCATTAGTAGCTCAGTCGTTTAAAATGCGTCAGAGTTGTGTTTATCTATAAATTGACGCAAATTTGATTTCTTTAAGAACTTTTGTGAATCTAACAATTTGTGATATCTTTTGCAGAAAGTGCATTCGTATAGAAAGAGAGAAAGAGATCCAAGAAACAAGAAGTGACCGTGGTGATCATCTAATTGTGGATTCTTGAAGAGCAAGTTAACTACACGTACAAAGGCTGATCATATTTGCACATTGGGTGTAACTGAGAGATTAGAAGCTACAATCTTGTGAAGATTGGATTGAGGTTCCCTGTTGTGATGACAGGAAGAAGAGTGTGCTGCGTTCTTGACTTTGAGGGTGGCTCAAAGGGTTTGGACTGAAGGAGAGGGGATTCTTGTTGTTAGTCTGTTTGTATACTGCCTATATTTTTATTAGAGGGTTAGAGAGGTGTTTTATATTTTTGACGTGAGGTCGCTATAAAAGCCTTGTTGTAAAAACATTGATCAATATAGTGCATTAGCTTTCAATGGTTGGAAGGACACTGGATCTAGGCTTGGCCGAACCAATATAAAAACTTAGTGTTTGATAATCTATCTCTACACTCTTTTATTCAGTCGACTTCTTACTATACTCAATCGATTTAATTTCCGCTGCATAAACAAGTCTTTTACCTTGCGTTTCAAGAAAGTCATAAAGGCATCACTTTTGGTGAAAAAGATTTTGAAAGTTTTAAATTTTATACTTCACAAATTCACCCTCCCTCTTGGTGTGAGAAATTGAGCCATTCTTTTTTAATAAACATCTCAACTGGTTTTCAAAACATAAATTCTAGATTCCATGTTCTATTTTCTAATTTTCAACTTCTATTATTTAAAGTACTTGTCTTTTATTTTGTACACATCTATATATAATTTATGCACCTCAATTACAAAAGGAGAAAAAGACATTATTGTCCTTAGGCAAAATATGTTTTGGGATTAATATATATGCTATTCAATTTGAAAATTATACTGTAGAAGTTGTAACCTTTCTCATTTGTATTATTTAATTTATGTCACTATTTGAGGTGTTTATACTTTTGGGTTAAAAATATTTATTTGTAACAATATTAAAACATATTAATGTAACAAAAAACATCACAAATTCATATAATTCCATTGTCAAAATCATCATAGTAACATAAAAGCAAATTAAAATAAAACTCATCCTTACAACTTAATCAATAAGTACTCAAAATTTATAATAAAGTAGATATAGTTTTATCCTAAAAAAATGTCATAAACTCCCTAAATATTACTTCCACAAAATGATTGTCTTGTACCCAAAGGAGATTTAGGCTTATTTGTATCACCCGTTTGCTGAAATAATAATAAAAAATTAATAAAATAAACAATGACATATTATCATAACCATGAAAATTCAGAATTTCCTAAACTCAATTACATGTGTTGACAGTAATTACAATATATCAAACATAGTACTTGTACTTGTTTAGTAACTTACTTGTGGTTGAGGATCAAAAGAGGTTGCCATTTCATCAGGAATCTTTCCTTCTTTCATTATCATGTATGCTTTTAGCGCGCCTAAGGTGGTTTAAACTTGGGATTCTAAATGGATGTACTTATATTCCCATTAATTAGAAGATGTTGATGATGTGGCAGTGCTTGACGAACCAATGCTTAAAGTTGAAAGTTCAATTCTTGTATTTATGAATAAAATAATAAGAGCTGCTCCCAAACCCATGCATCACACTCTCCTAGAATGCTCTAGGCCTAACACTCTACCAACAACATCATAAGGAGAAACCTTTGATTCATCAGTAGAGGTTTGACTCAAACCCACTTCAATTTGTTCCTATAGTTTGCCATTTCATAAACCCACACACTAGTAAAAAAATTGCTTTTTAACTCGCGCTATAGGCTTCGGTTTAGGTGAAACCGAAGCGTATCAAAATGCGGTGGCATTTTTATAGTTTAAGCGAACTTATACACCTCGGTTCAAAATCAACCGAAGCATATAAGGCATATTACCTCGGTTAAAACTAAAACCGAAGCCTAAAAGCCCACTTGCCCCCAAAATATTGAATTATGTGCAGAGCCTATGGCTTTGGTTCATTCAGAACCGGTGCGAAACAATGTGTATGCCTCGGTTAAAGCAACAATCGAAGCCTAAAAGCCTACCTTCCCTCTGACAAGTCTCTGAAATTTGAATTCTGCGTAGAGCCTGGCTTCGGTTCATTTAGAACTGGTGCATATAAGCATTTGATATATTTTTTTTAGGATTATATGCCTCGGTGGGGGTGTAGAACCAAGGCATATATGCATGTATTGCTTCGACTAAGCATAGAACCGAGGCATATATGCATGTATCTTGACCAAAAAAACGTAACCTACTGTTCATTTCGTTCTTCCTTGAGACCTGACTTTCTCACTCCCTCGCTCTCGCTCCCTCGCTCTCGCTCCCTCGCTCTCGCTTCCATTGCTCGCATTTAGTCGCTGCATTCCTCGCGTCGGTGCCGCCATTGTCGCTCCGTCCGAGCCATAACCCTAATGACAGGTGAGAGACTGTGCTTTGCATCGTTCTTAGAGTTTTCCAAAATGTTAGGGTGTGATTGGTCTCTGTTATCGAACGGTTCCAATTTCAGATTCTACCAACCCGAGGAAGATTCGTTGGACACAATTTGAGGTGTGGGAGGGAGAGGAGAAGGGGGTGGTGGGGTATCGGAGAAAACAATTTTGTGGAGAGAGAAGTGGCGGAATTGGGATTTGAATTGCAGAGGGAAAAAAGGGGTCGGGGTTGGGGATAGGGAGAAGTTAGCGGAGAAGACGAGAGGGGAGTGGGTCGGTGAGCCCAAGAGGCCGAAGCCCGACTTGAGAGAGAGGGAGAAGGGTTGAGAGGAAGTGGGCATATAAGAGACTTTGAGGGATGGGCCTGATGTGAAGTTTGAAGAGAGTGAGAAGGAAAACTCGGAAATGGAGTTGGTGGCGGTGGTGGCGGTGACAGCTGAAAGAAAGGGCTTGTTCAGTATAGTCATGGGTACCTTCGCCGTCATGATTTGTTCGCTGTGTTCGTGGTGGTTTTCATCACCCTGGAACTTCAAGGACAACTTCATAGTGAGTGATGGGGGGTGTTGCTGCAACCACCGTGCTATGCAATAGATAGAAGATGACGACCACCGATCTCGTCTTTGGGCCAAACACTAATCTTTGGCTTTCTTTTATCAACAATTTAACCAAAAAAAAATAAAAAAAAATCAAAATATCTACTGCTTCGGTTAAGGCTGAACCAAGGCAAAATCCTATCCTTTTATGCCTCGGTTCGCACCTGACTTTTTGTCTCGCCTGGATATGCCTCGGTTCGAGAACTGCTGCCTATGGACAAAAATAACCGCTATCATTTTTCCTTACTGCAATAGTGACATTTGGGGCATGAACATCGAATTGTGTATCCAGAAGTTCCATTCTCAAAAGCAAAATTTGATAATTTTTCTAAACCAATTAGGTATTCAAGTGTATTTCAAGGCTTCATTATCCAATATTTATCCATTCAAAAATATTCCTAAACAAAATGAATTACACTAACACATGAAAAACAATACAATATTCATGAAAAATACAAACAAATAAAGAATTAAAGAAAATGAAATACTTGCTTCTAAATTGATTGAAATAATTGTTTCTACTAACTTAAAGAGAAACCTGCAACATCAATTAAGTAATGTTAAGTAATGTTTTGTTACGACGATTGCATTCCGAAATATAACAGAAAACACATAATCACAAGCAACCCTTTTCATATTTTAGAGATACATAGACAACATGCTATTGCTCTCAGGTTTTGTTTATTATTTGGAAAATATTTACTTGTAAATTTAAAATTAAAGAAAATTTATTTAAAAAGTTTAAATTAGTAGTTAAAAATTTTTTCTATAAAAGTTGCAATGAATTTTTCTTTTGCGTGAACATATATTGCGAATATTTATAGAAAGTTTTACGATTGTTTTTACTACCTTTAAGAATTACTTAACAATAATAAAGAAAATAGAATAATTTTTTTTTATCAATTTATGTACAATTTGTTTACCAATTTTTATACAAAATCTGCAACAAAGAATATATACTTAATATAAAAGAAATTCTAAACTTAATTTCTAATTTATGCTCTAATTTTATTCGAATTTTAAAAAAAGCATTTAGTTATTAGTTTTTTTAATTTAATCATTTAATTTTGTTTAAATATCAAATTTGATCTTTTCAGCAGTTTGACTGCTCGTTAGTTTGCTGCTTGAACATAAATGGTGGTCTAAAAAGAATATATCTAATATCCTGGTAGACGGAAAAGAAAAATAACATTTGGTTAGTTGAAAATTAAAAAACTAGCCAATTTAAAAAAAAAATCAAATTGGATGTTTTTGAAAAATTAATAGACTAAATTTAATATTTAAAAAAAAATAAGGAATACTAAATTTGATGATTTTAAGAAAAAACTAAAGAATCAAATTGAAAAATCAATACGACAGAATTTTTTTTTTAAATTCAAAAGAAATTAAAGTCAACTAAAACTCATGTAAGTCAACTTATAAATATAACGCAATGTGCTCAAATTTCGTTGGCGGTTGGATTTCGTTCCCATTGTTTCCTTGTTGTTTCGTTGATGTGACTACTTTAGCAATGAAATTCACACTGAAAAATTGTTGCCGTCCTTCTTGACACGTGTCCAAACGAAGAATAGTTCCCCAAACAATTTCACTTGTCTAGTTTTCTTTAACTAAACGTGTCCCGAATCTATTATTTACGCGTTATAAAAGAATACAAAATGCATGGACAATTACGATCCACACATTATTCTTAAGCGGAAAACAGGACAATTCACATCTACCAAGAAGGAACTGTGATCAAATATTATGTGGTGACATGATCAAACTTGTCTTCTGGCCTCTGTCTGTGTTTATTTATTGTTAGCTTGTGTTAACTAGTTTCGTACTACTATAACTGATTCTTCTAGTCCCGTCAAACATTCGTCTCCATGGCGCTGAAACAAAACGGTCAAGAAATAAACTTCTCATTCGCTCTAATGAAGAATTTGTTGCGTCAACTCCGTCATCTATTCTTCAACTCTAAGACCCTCCTACTCTGCATCGGCGGTAATCATTCAAATATGCACCTAATTGTGTTATTTATGGGAATTAAATTTTAACTTGACTCTTTCTCCCGAACTATTTTCAGCTTTGTCTGTAAGCTACACCATTGTGGAATTCTCGGTGTTGTCATCTATGATGGATTACTGGAAATATTCAGAGGTGGAGGAGGATCTACGAAAAGCTGCTATCTTAACAAATCTACAAGATGGTCTATCGTCTGTCCTTTCCATTTTTGCTTCTTTAATTTCCGAATCATATACGGGTCCCTTGACTATGATCACAATTTGCGCTGCAGCTGCCATCGAGGTAATATATAACACACATATATAATTTTTTATGCCTACCTTGAAATCAACACTTGACAAAACAAAAAACTCTTAATCTAATGGCAGGGTTTAATGCTACTATGGACATCGGCTGATCCAGTATCTGGTGCGCTATATGCAGCCATATTGTTTCTTGCATTAGGGAAAAGTGGTCAAACGCTTTTAGGAAGTTTTCTTAAAAATAAGGTGGAAGAGATACTTGAAGAAAGAGAAAAAAGTGAAATAAAGGATGGAAGCATAGAAAAACAAAATGAGCAAGACCTCATATGTACAATTCTTACAAATACGTGGTTGTTAGTTCCGTTGGTTGTTGGATACGTGGTAATAGTGTTTGCTGACTTTTCCGATCAAGATTACTATTGTCTCTTCAGATCCTCTGCAATTCTCATGGGAGGGTGCTATCTTTTGTTCCTCTTTGGTAGGACGAAGTATAGTCACGAACAATTACTTGATGAAAGCAATCTAGGGAAGATCTTTAGAATCTGCAAAGCAGCTTGTGAAAGACGAAGATCAGATTATCCAACGTCTCCGAATTGCTATTACTGGAAGGGTAATGTGCGGACCAATTTATGTTATGACCACGATAATGGACTGAGATTAAAGCCACGAGTTCCACGGCTATTCAGGTGGTTGGACAAAGCAGCTATACTTAATCAAAAAGATTCTATATATCCTGAGGTGAGTCCTGACACGCAAGAAAGGAATGGGAAGGTTTGCACAGTAGAGGAGGTGAGGGAAGTGAAGAGCTTTGTTCCTATGATATACCTCTGCTTTACCTTCTTTGCTTACAGTTTACTCGTGGCTACTGGGAACACTTTTTTTGTTGCACAAGCAAGCAACATGAAACCTACCAAAGGTTATGATATCTCTAAACTCTTTTTGATCAAAACCGGTATGAGAAAAGTGTCGCAATTCATCTTCTTTTGGATCGTGAATGGCTTGCGGAGTATGAGAAGTGCAGGCTTTACGTCGAAAAGATTCACAGTAAAGACTTCGATTATAAGCATTGGTTTTGGCATGGTGTGTGCCGTAATTTGCTGCGTCGTAGCGTGGAAAGTCGAGTTACAGAGATTGTCTTTGACAAAATATGGAGAGGAAGAACTGAAAAGCCCAACCAGAGCCTTAGTTCCGCAGTTTATATTGTTGGGAATGACGGAGGCACTTGTTGAGGGGGGTTTAAAGCTTTTATATGTTGCCCACGTAGAAAAAGCACTGTGGAGTTTTACTGATTCGTATACTGAATTACTGAATGGTATTGGCAAACTCCTCTTTTTTCCACTGGTCGTAACTTTCAGTGCAAGCTGGTTCAAGGAGAGTATCGATAATTCCCATGTAGATAGATTCTATCTAATGTTGGGAATATTGAACGCTGCCCTGCTTCAAATTTTTGCTTACTACTCTTTCAACTACACATACAAGGAGATATGTCCCGAGGATGACCACGCTGATCAACCAGAGGCTTGCAATCAAGGTAATAATATATATATATATATATATATATATATATATATATATATATATATATATATATATATATATATATATATTATTTTCCTTTCCTTTGAATATTTTGGTTTCTTTTACAATATTTCTGCCCTACGTGAATAATTTGACCAATTATGAAAGGTAAAACCAAAATGAACTAGATAATTACAATAAAAATATGTCGGTAATTATTGAAAAAAATCTGTCGATAATTACACGAAAAATTCATTGATAATTACATAAAAACACATTCATCACTGCTCGTGACATAGTCTCCTTTGATTTTCTTATTCTAACCTAGACTAGTATTATTCTAGAAAACAAAGATATAAAACTGTGAAGAAAAATTCTAACCAAGTCTATTCTAACCTATGTCTCTTTTTAATTTCTTTTTTCATGCACGAGTAGGATGATTTCTTCTATATATATTCTTTAATTTGACATCTTTAGATGTCTTTCTCAATTTTTTCTTTGATGGAACACTTCATCTTCTGGTTCTCAAGAGTTACTATATCAAGTTTAATAATCTTTACACAATCACATTCACTTCAGTTTACAAGCATGTTCTTCCCTTCTTTTATTTTTTCATTTTTTGGTTTTTTCTTTTTTTGGTTTTTTCTTTTATTTAAATCGTTGTAGAAAACTAACAATAAATGATATTATAGTATTTCCAAATTCTTTAGCAAAGGTTAGTCATTGTGGAATATTTTTCTTGACATGGATTTTATGACATGAGTTTGGAAAGAGAAGGATGATGAACTTCGAAAATAAAGTTTGTAATAGTTAAATAAAGGGTACTTTTGAAATATTAATATAAACTTATTTGGTTAATATAATGGGAGCATGGTCATACCAACCTTTCTTGTCATAATCCTCTATTAAGTGTAATATATATTTTGTAATCACGTGCACTCCTTTATTAACATTCCTTCATTACGTGGTTTAAAATTGAAATATGCAATTTTCCTATAATGATATAACTTGTATTAAATATTAATTAGTAGTACAAAACAAGCTTTTTAAATATATTATTTTGAGCTTTCTAATTGTGTTTTATAAAAGAATTAGATTTAATAGACTTAAATTTTAACTCTACTATAAATCTAACAGACTTAGATTTTCTGTCCAAAATTGTAAATCTAATCATATATTTTATTGGTACTTATAAAATATAATTTTAGGTTTGTTAGAAAACATAACATATAAAACATTTAATTCTGTTTATATTCTAACAAGCTTAAAATATAAATTCAAGTATGTTATGTGATTAACAAATTTAAAATATAAATTTTTATAATAAAAATGTCACCAAACATTTATTAAGTTTAGTATTTTTGGAACAGACTTAAATTGAAATACTTATAAAGTTATTTTTTTCCTAGTGAATCATACTTAAATAATGAATCATAAATGTAGACTTTTATTGTTAAATTAGTTTACATCTAAATATCCTTTTCATTTTAAAAATAACAGTTATCATAATTTTGTTTTATCAACAGTTGATGAAGAAAACTTTGAAGGCCATGAAGTAAATGTTGAAGAAAACAAAGAAGACCAGGTTGAAGAAAATGTTGACGAACATGATAAAGAAAACTATCATTCCACACTGTTTTGTATTATGAATAATATATCTGATTGTTTTTGACATTATTGTTGATTATTAATTGTGAAATTACGTTATAGAAGGGGATGAGTAAAGCCTATAACCATTTTCTTGCACAATGGTTAAGCATACACACCCATTGTTTTTACAACATTATTGAAATTTGATTCTATAAGTTCAATATCTCATTTTTTTTTTCTGTTTCTTGTTTCTTGTGTATTTTTCTTTCTATTTTTGCTTGTTCACTGTATATTTCTTCTTCACCATGGTGTTTGTATTTGTAGATATGTTGAGGAATATGATCCTTGAGTCTCTTTATTTATGAATATTCGAAACCTCTTTTTCATTCTTTATCTCATAAAGGAATGTTCTAATTTCTATCTCTATTTCCATCTTTCTTTGTTATATTATTTTTTTAATATCTTTCCCTGATTGATTCCATTATTTGCTTCCATATTTATATTTCTTTCTTCTTTTGTGTCTTCGTAATATTTAACAGTTTGTAGTCTTTCAATAGTGACACTTAATTATAGCCACTACTAAAATATAGGTTTTTTATATATGTTATTTCAGGTTTTTTTAAGTATGTTTTACAACAAACTTATATTTGGTAGACTTAAATTTGAAGTCTGTTGACCAACAAACTTAGATCTTTGTACAATTGTATAAAAAATAAATTTGCTATTTTTTAAATTTTATTGGATTAAATATGTTTTTAATCTCTAAATTATCAAGCGATTTTGGGTTTCATCCCTCTTTGAAAGGTTTGTTCATTTTAGTCCTCTTAGTTTTGAAACTCTTATGTTTAGTCCTTAAAATTGAACGACGTTAAGTTTTCTTTGATGTGGCAAACGGCGAGCCACGTGTGATGCCACCTTCCCTCATTATTGTGTGCCACACTGCTTTTCTTTTTAAAAATCAGATTAAGTGATTGCCACATTTTGGTTTCTGAAATCATATTAGGGTTCTTAATTTATTTTTTTATCAATTGAGAAAAAGTAGTTTTACTCGAACAAAGTAGTTTTACTCAAAGCAAAGCAATGAGTTTAAGCAAGGTGATCGTTGCGTTGGTCCTTGCGGTGGTCGTGAAAGAAATGGTGGCTGTGAACACAGACAATAGTTACCCCAATCTCAATTCAAAAATTTCAATTTCACAGAAATAAGAACTCGATAATCAAACAACAAAACTCTATTCGAACCCCAAACTTAACCACATAAATCCAAGACCTACAAGAAAGAATAGAGGAACAACCCAAAATTTTCCTAACTCAACAAACCCCAAATTCCCAAAATTCCCAGTTCGCGACTCTCCTCTACTTCACGCCGCAAGACCACCACGCTACGAACCAAACCGGAGAAAAGGAAGGAAAAGAAATCTCTCCATAGCACCGTGAGCAAGTTCCATGGCGGAAGAGGAAGAGAAACTCTCTCGGAGTTGTGTGATGAAGAACTCTTCTTAGATGGCGCCTCAACCTCACCGACGCAATCGGAGAAGCTGGAGTCCCTCGCGGGGGCGCCGACGCTGCAGAAGGTCCTTACCGCACCTCGCTGCGTCTCGGCGTCAACGAAGCCGAGATCATGCTTGAGCCGCTGCCTTCCACAATGTCGCCATCGTTGCTCCACCGCTACGCTCTCGCCGCACTATCGCTTTGTCATCGCCGCGTTGTCACCGCGCCATAGATGTTTTCCCCAACGATGGGTGGTCTGTGAAAGTGTAGATGGAAAAGAAGCTCGAAGCTTCTGGTTAGGACACAAAAGAAGAACCTAATTTTCTTTTTAGGGTTCACTTTCATGAGAAAGAAATCGTTAGGGTAATTGGGAGAAGAAAAAGAAACATCTGATGCTTAGAATTAATGCTTCAGAAACCAAAACGTGGCACACAATAATGAGAGAAGGTGGCATCACACGTGGCTCACTGATACGCTACTACTGAAGCTATCAAATTAATACTACTTTTCAAGGGAACTTCAGTATTGCTAAGTAGTATTCAAGAAAGTAAATAGGGTTAAAGTAACTCTGAGTCGTCTCCCAACGAATACGTAATTGTTTTTCAATATTTGAATCTTATGAATGTTATGCAATGCTCAAGAATAAAAGTGAGAAAATATGCTAATGAAGTTAATGTTTGGAGAATGTTTGAAGAACAAATAGGAAACTTAGAAACAATTATGATGAAATAGGCTAATTTCACTACTTTTCCAAAATAGATTCATCATTGGTTATCCACAAATAATTGTTCAATTGATTATTGTTCAAGTTTCAAATTAATTAAAGTACATTCTTAATTAATTTGAGGGCGATCATGCAGTTAACCAAAGTAGATTCTCAATCAAATGCAAGACCTTTCTAGATTATTCACAATGAATTCAACCAAAGTACATTCTCAATCAAATTCTGTTGTGTTTAATGAAGTCTATTCTTAAATCTCCTAACCAAATTAAAAGCTAATTAATCAAAGTAAATTCTCAATTAATTATAGTTAAAATTATTTCCACCAATCAAAGTACATTCTCATTTGATAGCAAAAACTCATTTAATCATATGAAAGTTGCCAACTTCAATTAAAGTAGATTCTCAATCAAGCCTAGAAACCCTTGAACTCATATGATTAATATGCATGTAGATTCAAATACATTATGATGCAAAAATCATTGCTTTTAATATGATTGAGAGATGAAAGACACAGAAAGAGAGCAACTCAAATCAATAATCAAAAGAAATAATTGCATTAATTCAACTTAACCTTAGAATCCATAATGAAATTACAGTGGAATAGCCCTAGAAGCTTAGCCCTCCATGGATAGAGTAAAATACATGGAAAAATAAAAGTGAGAGGAGTGGTGGATGAATGAGTTATGCCTCCCCTGGGTCTCTTTATATAGGCTTGATTGGGCCTGGACTCTAGATCTTCTGTTGATAAGATCTTTTATCTTATATCTAATATCTTTCAAATCTTCAACATATTTAATTAGTTTTTGAGAAAATTTGATAATATCTTTTCTAGATTCAAAAAGATTTGGCAAATATTATCTTTTGATTTTTATTGATATAGTTAAATAAGGTAATTATTTAACAATATCAAATAAAATATCTTAAGATATATTTTCTCCAAATTATCTTTTAAAATATCTAGTAGATTTAAACTTGCCCAAAATTACATTTTAACCCTTTTCATTTTATTCAAAATTGCACAAAAGTCCAGAAATTTGGTTTAGTTGCACTTTAGTCATCTCTTTCTTTTCAAAATTGCATAGGAACCCTGCATTAACCAGATTGGACCAACTTTGACCATTTAATTTCATGCTTTAAATGAATAAAATTCTAACTTCAACTGCACAAATAAACATTAGAACATCCAAAATAGTTTATGCAACTGAGAATCACATTTTAAGCATCTTTAATTCCCAAACCCAATAAATCCAATTGTCACAAATTCACTTTAAATCAATCATTTAAGCACAAGAATCTCATCAAAATTTGAATTTTAAAACATAAATGTGGGCATAAATATGCACTCATCACACCCCTACACTTATCCTTTTGCACTCTTGGGCAAAATTGACTAATTTCAAGACTTTGTTCTGGGTCATTTATTTCCATATTTGCATTTGGATCAAAAGAATGAACAACACCGAACATAGATCAATCATCTAAAGATCACTTTGCATGGACATGCAAATGAAATCACTTTATTCTTCACACATGAGTTAGCCTTTTTGAATTCCCAAGAAAATCAATTATGAAAGATAACACTTAAGTCAAAATGTATTTATTTCTCCATCTCTCAAGTGTTTTTAGCTTGTGTTTACGCTTAAAATACTCATGTAAGTAACACCGTTGATATTTAGCAAGACTCTAATTCACATACTTCAGAAAACATGTAATTATTGATCATGAGAACTTTTTAAAGGTTCTATTGAGGCCAAGGAAATGGTAGGAATTTTTTTTTGGAATTTCTGAGTTTTTGAAATTGATATAGAAATAGTAATGACACTTTATTTCAAAAACAACTTTATTTCTTGCTCTTTTAAGGAAGATTTACTTTTCTTTCTCTTTCTTTTTCTTTTGCCCTTTTTTCCTTTTTTCAAAATTCCAACTTTTCATCCTCCTTTTTGCCATTTTTATTATTTTCTGGGTGAGGCACTCACCCACACACTTATTCATCACTTACTTCTAACAAAATTCATTACTCCTTCTTCTTTCCTAAGGTAAGGAACATATGTTTTTTCATCTTTTCTCATTTGACAATGACTTAAAACAAGGAAAATAGTCTTAAGGCTTAAAGGGTTTTCCAATGGATTAATGTTAGGCAAGTTTATTTGGCCAAGTAGCTAAAACAAGAAATGCCTCAATCATATCAAATCGTGCATATTCACCTCAGTTGCACAACACAGAATCAAGTTAAATATTAGAGTATCAACAAAACATGGGCAAATCAATCAAGAAAAATAGGTATGGTACATGGTGGTCCATCCTTAACATTAAGCTCAAAACTCACATGGTTCAAATTTCTTTGACAAAAGATTTAATAAAGAAATTCTCAAGTCAACTCAATCAGCATATCATAGAAGCAATCCACTCATATCAACATAACTCATTGTTTCTCTTGAATTCATGATCATCCCAGTTACTGATTCAAACTCTCAAATTCATTGCAAATATTTATTTAAAAAAAAAACAAAACAAAATAGGGAACAAAGTTAATTGTTTTCCCACACCCCCACACATAAACTATGCATTATCCACAATGTATGTTTTATATATAGAATGCAAAGAAAAAGTATGAGGGTACTTACCTCCTTCATGGTGGAAGGAATGCTAGTAGGACTACATCGGAAAAGTCATCTACATCGGAATGCTATCTTTTCCCTTTTCAATCCTACTAAGATGGTTAACTACTAAATTATGTGCCCCACTTCTATCCTGAATAGGAGTCAACTTGTCCTTCTCGTTCTTGACCATTGTGATTCCATATTTCATGGGAACCACATGTATAAGGCTCACCTAAGTCTTGTCAGAATTGGGGTATATAATACCTGTTTGTAGCAACTTGGTGTCCTCTTTCTTTATAACCTCCATCAGTTAAGGATTCAGTCTTCTTTGAGGTTGTCTCACTGATTTAGCATCCATCTCCAAAAGTATTTTATGCATGC